CCTCCTTCTTCTTCTCAGACTTCCTCATGCACCATCCCAGCAGCAACAAGTATCTCAATAGCTCAATCTCACAGGCAGGTTCCTTCAGTAATAAAATCCCCTTCCACAGTCACAACTCCCATGTTCACTGCAATCACTGGTACGATTCCTGTCGCAGGCCCAGGAAGCCAGTATGCAGTCCCTACTGTTACTTTCAGTGAAGGCTCCAACACCTCAGCCTGTTCTACAGTTACTTCAAAGATCAGCCAGCTAGCACAGACAGCTGTTGCTGGTTCTCATTTTCAGGCTTCATTAGTAAAAAACACTGTTGTTGTCCCATCACTGAGTAGTTCTGGTGTTCCCCGAGTTCTCACACAACCAGATGTCATCACCAAGGGTGGTGTGAAACGGGCCGGTACAGATGAGAGATCCCAAGTTACTAAATTCATCCTGGTTACTCCATCTTCCTCCTCCACCTCAAATGTGGCCTTTTCAAAAGGCACACCTCCAAAATCACTTCCAAGTTCAAAAGTCATGTTCATTAGCCAGCCCACAGAGACATCATCCACCACCTTCATGGAAAGCATTCCAAAGCAGGGAATAGCAACAGGGGCTAGTGGACAGCTGTTGACCACGTCATTATCAGGTCAGAATCTAAAGATGGGAAGCCCAGACCACCCAGAAGCATTGCCCAAGGTCAAGAATGTCAGTCTGCCATCAGGTGGGTTTGTTTGATGTGATCTTTTCCTGGAATTTGCATAATGTCTGCTTTGTCTTTTGTTTGATTCAGTCAGTTTTGCAACAATGCCACATAAATCATTTGTACATATAGACTTAATGTAGTTGGAAAATTGTGCAAAATAGTTTGTGCAGCCCATGTTGGTTTTGTTCCTGTCTATTGAGTGCAGGAAAAACAACAAAACAAGGATTCAGTTAGAACCATAGAGACAATTAGCTCACTGCCTGTGGCAGTTTTACAGCTGATGCTTTGTTAATGCAAACAGCTTGCCAACATGAAAATGAAGTGTTGCTGCTATGCCTTGACCATCATTGGGGAGGAGGGTACTGCCAACAATACAATACTGTTACTTTTAACAGACCAAAGAACTTATTCCAAATACACCCACATTAGGAGTGTTGAGCTACTAAATAAAATATTTCTTATGTCCCCCCAGGGGTTCAGATCCAGTTGTCAGGAAAGACGACCATTGGGCAGACCATTGGTACCCTGCCACGTTCGCCTTCCAAGGGTACATCAGTGTCTCTCTCAGATACTACCCGTTCAACACATACTACCACCACTGGACTGGTCCTTTTGACAACTTCAAGTACTACTACAAGCTGTTCTGCCCAGCTAACCTCTCATGCTTCTGTGATCACCAACTCTCATTTCCAAGATATCCCCTCCTTCACTGTGATCTCCCAAACAGGCTCCTCCATTTCCAGATCTACTGCTGCCACTCTGCCTGCAGGAAATGTGATCAAGAAGGACCTTGGTATACCTGCCCATATACCATCCAGCAGCTCTCCTGCTCAGGTAGCCACTGTCATGCAGAGTAGCCCAGTCCAAACCTCCACACCTGTTCTTGTGCAAAGTGTCACTGGCGGAGAAACCACTTCCTACTTATCTTCCTATCACCTTGCTCTCAATAAAACCCAAAGATCGATATCCTCAGCAAGAACCACCAGCACTCCATTCACCACCCCTGCTACCAGCACAGTCCAACAGAAGATCATCATCAACACATCTACACCCCTCGCTGCCGGCACACAGATCCTCCTCAACAATGCATGCTTTGTAGTCCCGCCTCATGGTTTGGGTCCAGGCAGCCATGTCCTCATTATCTCTAGCCCTGCACCACAACAAGTGCCTCCTGCCAGTGCTACCAGCACTGGAGTATCAGGACCCCCCCAAGGGGCAACCCATGCCACTGTAGCCCCTCAAACACCAGTTTTACCCCCATCTTCAGCCAGGCTGCCTGGTGCACCAGTTGCAAGTTGTCCTTTTATAGCATGCACACCTGCTGTTGGTCCATCATTGATAGCAACCACTCCTAATGTCATGCCAGTCCAACTTACAGAAACGCCTGGCCTTGGCTCGGTGTTGTTACCCAGTAGAACAAATGTAGTATCTGCTCTTCCTAGGCTGCCAGCTGTGCAGGCTGTTAACTTTGCATCACCTCCTATAGGTACACCTGCTCTGGTGTCATCCCGGCCAAGCTTAGGCAGTGTACCAGCTCTAGTTTCCCCAGTGCTCACCAGTGCTTCTACTCTTGGCTCTGTACCAGCTACAATAAGCTTTTCTGCAAGTACACCTGCACAAACTGAATGTTCAACCACCATTTCACCTGCAGTAGCACCCCCCTTGCCCAGATTGTCAGCACCTTTTTCATCCTTGCCTGTTTTACCCAACCCATCGGCTGTTGCCCTTCCCAGTCCTGTCATGCCAGTTCCTGCATCCCTCTCCTCAGCTGCAGCTCCTCTGGTATCAGACACACCTTTGCATTCTTCTCTTTCTGCCCATTCGGTGGTTTCATTGACAGCCCCTGGCACTGGCATACAGCCACAGCAGACAGCGTTAAGAATTGTGGCACCCACCACTTCTCTATCACAGGCTTTACCACATACAGGACTAGGCAAAACATCAGTCAAAAACCAGATACCTGCAGTCATGCAGCCAGTGCTTGCTGGAACACGAACACAAGTATTGCCTACAGTGGCTGTCCCACCATTTGTAAGCACTGCATCTAAGATGCTGACACTACCCATTGCTACAGTTCCACCAGTTGGAAGCAACATTGGCACCTTTGAAACAGCACCTGTAGTGACTGCATCTCCATCTAGCAGCACTGTAATAATCACTCCAGCTCAACCAATCTCATCAATGAAGATAAACAAAACCATCCACCCATCTGACATTCTGACCAACCAAGCACTTGGAAAGCACTCTCTGCAGACCTCAGCCTTAGGTATTCATACCAATGTAGCATCCAAGCTACTAATTAGTCCTGATGGTGCTGTTTTAAGCACAGTTCAGTGCCAGGTTAATCCAGCAGAACTGACAGCCTGCCCCAAACCACTGGATGCACTGGTGGTTTCTCCCAACAGTTCCACTGGAGCACTACACACAGGTGATTCATCTTTGCAGCATTCACAGGCAGATACAAAGTGAACCAAGTCTGTGCTAACTATGTAAGGTCTCAGACATCACTTTTCAACTGCTTAGTTTTTTCAGGGCTCATATTCATCACTTGTAATAATCTTGGCATTGGTTAAAAAAACTGCTTTCCAGCTGTAGTTTGACATGTAACTTAGATTTAGGACACAGTAGGTTTTACCTTCTGCTAGATCATTTTTACAGGCAAACTGTATGCTCAAACATACTGGAAATGTATACTGTGATATTTTCTCTAGTGAAAATGGTTGAGGTTACCCTCAGATTAATGTTACAGACTCTTGACTTTCCCTTTTTTTATTTCATGGCCAGTCATGACAGAAAGAAAGTCACTTTCGGCTTTTCCCATTTTTTTTAGGGGTCGCCACAGCGAATCGTCACACTGACGACTCGCCTGTTGAGATTTGGCACGTGTTTTCATGACAACTGTTTCATTAAATCAGTAGAATGGGAGGGTAGATAAAATGAATTTCAACTCAAGCTTTTGTAATACAATTCAATGCTATTAGATACTGGTTCAAGAAGTAATAATTGGAATACTGTTAATTGGTACAACCTGCTCTGCTTTATCTGTCAGTCTCAACAAATCAACTGTCTATATCCAGATTCTGTATTGTCCTTTTTTCAACTAGTAACACATTATACTTTTTATAAATATAAATAAACTAAAAGGTGGATTCGTACTACATGTTTGAGTCCATATGAAGTGTTTTCAAGTCATTTATTTATTTTTACCACATTGTTTTCAAAAATATTTACTAGTTACATTATCATTGTTAAAGAAATGTGGACATTACTGCATGGAAATAAACAATGCGACTGTCCCCAACAAGTGTGTTTGGACTGCTTTCCTTATACACAGGCACCTTGTGAAATCACTTGTTTATTGAAACAACTTAGTGTATATATATATATTGTGCTCATACATGTTAATACTTACACGTGGTACTAATAGTAGTTAATATGTTTTACATATTACTGCATTTAGGTGTGTTGTAGCTATGAAACATTAGGAACCATACTGACAATGATATCAGAATATACATCTTCAGACAACAGATGAAGTTTAGAGTTTGTTCTCCAGTATTTTCTTTGATTCCTCAGGCATCTGTTTGTCTTTTACAAATGTCCTTCAGGGAGAATAAGGAGGAGGCAGTGGCCCTGCGGAAATCTTTTCATAGGCTGGCGGAGCATTAGGAACCTGGAGAAGAGTGGGACAAATAAAAATGAAGCTGAAATTTAGAAAAAAAGATTCCACACACTGATGTGATTATATAAACAATGTTGATCTTTATAGTGATAGACTCAACTGTGGGTCCAGCATGATTGAAAGGCTCTTTTCTTAGAACTGCTGTTGCAGAAAGGGATGGTAAGTGTTAAAAAGAAATTGTGCTTTTGCTACTTTATCTGGGTGCTGATCTGATGCTCCTCCCCTTACTTTTCCTGTACACTGGGATACACATACCCTTGGGAATTAAACATATTTAATACGTACCTCAAGTCTGGTGACAAAATAATCTGTCCTTCAGGCAACCCTTGCATCAGCTTCATGTGCTCTACTGTGCTCTCTATACTATACTAGGGTCCTCTGACAAAGACTTTGGTTTATACAAGGTAAAATCTGCCCACTAGTTCGTTATTGGTTGGCGATGTATTAAAAATGATATATGTAATTTTAATAGGGAAATACATTTTACTGTCAGTCCAACTGTCTATTTGCAATTATCATTCGTTTTCCTGACACTAAAAATCCTAGTGACAGGGAAAAGGAGAGTACAGTGGAGTGCAAGGGAGTTAAGTCAGCCATGCATAATTGCCAGTTCCTTACCACAGATCGAAACCTGCCAAAGTCAGTGAGAGCCATCTTGTTTTCTGCTGTTTTTGCACATGCCTCTGAGTAGTGGCCTCCTGTGGAACCTGGCGACCCTGCTCTAGGGTTCTGTGAGATGTGAGAAATGAGAACAGGGTTGAGGAAAAGGAGAGATAAGCAGAGTGAAATATACACAAAAATGAGAATAGATCTTTGAAAGAGTTTGTAAATCAAATGAAATATGTTTTTTCATTTTCATATTATACAAGAAGAGAATAACATGGATAGCCTAGATCCATCGTTTTAAGTATGAAATGTGAACCAATTTTTTTTTTTAAAGAAAGTGTGATGATCTCACCCTGATTATTTTGTAGCCACCCCTCTTCTTGAAGTACCAGCATCCCAGGATGAGGAGAGCTGCCAGTATTATCACCAGCAGAGTTATACCCACTGCCCTGGATTCACAAAGACAAAAGACAATGAGGATTTTCTAGTTTAGGCTCAGTTTTATACTTCACTTAATGAAGATTTATATCAGAATATGAAAGGGCCTATGGTACAACCAAGGTACTGGGGGTGGGAGTGAAGGTAGGATTAGTTTAAATTACATCCCTAATTTTAATATAAAATAGACACATACTCCTCAGCTCTGACAAATCCTCCTCCTCTGTTGGCAAAATAAATATTGAAGTCTCCCCTGGGCATCCCGTCTGTATGATTACACCGCATTAAGCTGAAAATCAACAGAAAATCACTTTACAAACTGAAAAAATCTAGGAACATTGAAACTGTGTATTTAAAACAATTTTATAGGGCCATAGTTTTTTTCACTGCACCAAATGATATTCTTTATACACATGCAAATGAAGTTTATGAAAGGCCTATATGATAATAAATGCTAAACCATTTGTTTTGTCAGGTGTCAAACCCATAAGCTGCGTTGACCATTAAATATGCCTTTGTCAACATTATTCAATCTGCAACAAAATACAGGGCAGTCAGACACACTTAGCCGCCATGAAGCTGTACACCGATTTGTCATCCTTAAGAACAAAATATTGTTTTCTTGTGTTTATTGTATGTCGATAAGACAAAAGAAATAGGAAACAACAATATAATGAAAATGTATCATATTTAGTAATTTGCTCACAACACAGATTTTTTTCATGTAAAAGCCTCATTCATTCTTACAAATTGATTATCTCTGTATTATGCACCATATGGCACAGTCTGCATCACCTTTTGAGGGAGAAAACTTCTGTATTTTGGGGGTAATATTTATGAACTATCCATTGCCATACCATTTGGTGGCAGCAGCTGTTTCTGACACCCAATAATTAAGTAATTTGCAGCATTAACTCAGTCTGATAATGTTAATCTCATTTTGTTTATTAAAATAAAAATGAATTGGCTGCTTTGAGGATTATTCCCCTCATTTCTCAGCTTGTTGTCTCTTCATGTTCTCCATCTGGGATGCTTATAATAATGTTATTTAGCATAAGAGCAGACAATACAAAAATATTCTGCATTATCCCTAGAATATAAATTAAACAGAACACAATCTTACCAAACTGAATTAGGCAGACGATTGCAGAGAACAGTTCTTCTGGTCAGGATGTCTTCCCAAAAAACACTGGGTCCTCTGAGCTCTGTTATTTCATTCTTCAAATATCTTGCCGGAGAGCAGCACAAAACCCTCATGACTGTCACGGGTTAGAGGCTCATGGTTAAATCCATTGAAGTGGAGTAATTACCATGAAACCCTGCAGCCCTGAATTCAACATTATTACCCACTCATGAAACTACAGGCATCAGCTGCTGACTTTTCATATGAGAGAGAGTGACTCTGTGTGCATCTTTACCAATATCCCCATCAATCTAGCAGCCCAAATAACAACTAAAAAGTGGGGGGGATAAAGTCACCATAAATGTCCATTTCCAAAGCACAAAATAGCATAAAATACTATTATTCCTATTTCATAAATTCCTCATCAAATGCTGCACTGTTAAACAATCAATATTTCAGTTATTTTCTTCTGAAAAACTGACAGAAAAACTCAAAAATGGATTGTGGATTTTATTTTTGGTGGGCCTATACTACTAAGCCATCAGACTGGCTGTGTAAGACAGAAAACAGTAAGCTAACAGTAATTAAAATGACTATCTCAAATCAGTGTTACCACAACTGTAAATGAAGTTAGTTGTTTGTTGCTCTTGGCTGTTTGTTTGGTTGTTGTCATTCATTTGTTGCAATGTGAACATGCAGATACTTTGCTACTTTAAAAATCAGGGAATCCTCCAAGAAACACAAAGGCATAAATATACTATATTATGCATGTACAATGTCACCAGTCAAAAAAGTAGCCTACATAGCATGCTTATAGCATATATGAACAGTTTTAGGAGCATTTAAACCTCAAAACAGCTAACTAGTCCACCTTTCAGGAAAGATGGAGGCCTTTTCCTTCTCATTCAGGCTTTAAACATTTCAACTTGGTGAGGAGTAAAAAAAAAAAAAAAACAATGGAGAAAAAACTTTCTTCTCCACAAGAGGGACACCTAAACTTATTTATGAAACAGGTTTGTGTCTGGATGTGTCTCAGACTGAAGTGCAGTGCTTTATAGCTAGGATAAATAGTTGTTTTTAACAGACATAGGTTACAACTGTCTGCAATCCTATATTCCTGAATACTTTGGCACATGTGAGAAAACCAAACTGGAGGGAGAGTTTTGCAGCTTTTGGGAAGGTTTGATTAAATTATATCAGGAAGCAGTCAGCTGATTGGCTTATTGTTCCGGCGTTGTGATGACAAGTCACTCCTAAATCAGACCAGAGTTCAAATATGATCAGAAATAAATCATATTTTTAATGATGTTAGACCCTCCTGTTGGTGCTAAGTGTGGAAATGTTTTACCTAATTCTGTTGGCTAGAGCTTTAGAGCACCAAATTTAAACATCACGGACCCATATGAGGATTTAAGAAGACTCAAACATTACTGTATTTATTTTATGTGTACATATTTTCATAGAAAAATTGCTGGCGTCACACTCCCAACATGGAGATATCTCTGCGGACGCAAGAGGTCCTCCCTGGGTTATGATTTAGGAGGGTCATAAACGTTATTTAGCCGAGCTCATCACCGGTTCAGGGAATTGTTCCTTTTAACGAGTCTTCCGGTCGGCATTTTGAGCTGGAGAGAACACTAGACTGTGGCTGTCCCCTGTCTCTGCCCCTCGCTTGTTTTCCCCATAAATTTATCGGGTACCCTGAAACATAACCTCCACTGTCTGACAAAACCGTAAGATAAGGGCGGATTGAGGGGATACTCCCCCTTCCCAAATGATATGTTCACCGTAAGAAAGGAGAAAAGCCTCTGGTTCCTGAGACTGTGGGTATTACTGCCGTTGTCTCAGGAGCTGTTTAAACAGTGGGAAGGAGAGGGAGCTAGAGACTCTTCTCCAGCTGCCATCCTACTCCTGCTCCTCCCCCTCCTCCTCCTCCTTCTCCTCCTCCTCCTCCACCAGAACACTTCTCTTTCTCATCACATCCAGAGGTAAATAAGCCAGATTCAATAATAACAACAACATAATTTCAGACAAATTGTTTACCTTCCTGAGTGTTTCTGCCTTGCCAGACATATCAGGCGGCCGCTGGGAACCGTCAACGGGATCAGCCAAGGGGATAATTCTGATTTGTGATGGGGTATTTGCATTGTACCCCTGCTTCCCTGGCTTCGGGTCGGGGTTATGCTTCCTTAGGCAAGTCCGAGGTCCACTTTGTGTGCTAAAGATGCGTCGATGTAGGCCATAGCAAGTGTGTGATGGAAATCTAAACCCATACACAACCTGTAATGTTATGATAAAAGGACCGATACCGAGTAGGTAACACACGGCTAACGGGGTTTGATGCACTCCCGGTGATGCTAGCTTAGGCAAGTTAAAGCTATACCTAGCCAGTTAGCATACGTTAGCAGCATCTCCAGTTGTTGTTAGCCGGCCAACCCAGAGTTGGTTTTAGTTACTTTCGCAGGCGGCGTTATCCTGCTCTTTCTCTCTACGCTGCCAATAATAATAATAACAGAGTAATGATACAGTCACTTCTGGTGTCAAGATGAGCTAATGTCACTGTTATGGTTTGGACAAAACGTTAACGTTAATGGACACTGCAACAAAAGCAAGAATTTAACTAGCAAAGTACAAGGTCTTAAGAATTGCCTTTAGGTGCTGTTTAGTATGTTTTATCAGCAAAAGTGAACATAAAAACGCAGGCAAGCTAACGTTGGAGGCTGGAGATGGAGAGCCGCACTGAGGCACCGAATCGCTGTATTAACTTTTAATCACCAGCTAATTAAATCAGATTTGTCACCACCCGAGTCTAATTGTAATGCACCACACACTGCATTTGTGTGAGAGATAAAAGCAGTATCTGTGTGTTTCTATAGCCATTGTGTGTGCGAAATATCACAGCTAAAACAATGCACACAGTGCACCAGGGAATAAGATGGTTTACACATCAGAATCAGAATTTGATATCAAAAAACAGTAATAAATCAATAACTTGTGAAGACATGCCCAGATAATGCCAACATCAGAAGTGCCATTATGTTGGCCCTGTAATAATGCACACTCTTGAGCTAACATAGTTTTGAATCCTGTGGAAGAAGCACACTGTATATGGAACAAATTGGTGGTATCCTAATAGTAATAAACTAAATAGGAACAGTGCTCCATGTAAGGCAGTGACCGTTCTGTAAGTGCCAATTTTTTGTTTCTGCAGCATTTTGGAGATGTGAGGAATAGGAAGAGATTGGTGATATTGAGCAGCCTGTGCACTGACACGACCCTTGACCTCATCTTCAGCATGAATGGTGATATGCCTCATGTCCCCATCACTACTCTTGCTGGAATTGCTAGCCTGACAGACTGTAAGTGCAACTTCATTTTTAATGTTGTTCACACATCCAAAACACTAACATTCAAACCAAGATGTGGCTAGGCTGAGGAATATGTGACTGGCTGTGTAGTTATTGCAGGAGATAGTAATTCTTCTCACTACTGGTGATTACTGGGCAGAGAGAGGTGAAGAAGCTTGTGTTTCTGAAGAAGGGAAGTAACTTGATAAATGTAGGAATTGATTAACTTTTCTCCATATTGATGTTACCATGTATTTAAGGTCTTTTGATAAAAGTATAGCCAGGATAGCATGTTTATAACATTATTACATTATTTTGGGGATCCATTTATTTTACCTGAACATTACCAAGTAATAAACACAAGTTGCCAAGTTAACATATACCAGATGAGCATTGTCATTATCTTATCCAGCTGGCCTTCACATTCCATCCAGCCTAATTTGTCTTTCAATCCTTTTAGTGTTGAACCAGCTGCCCTTGCCTTCCCCTCTCCCTGCCACCACTGCTAAGAGTCTGCTCTACAATGGAAGGATCTCTGAAGAGGTCAGCAGCCTGCTGGTGTGCCGGGACGAGAATCTGGTGACTCAGGTGGCACATAGCCTTAACCAGGTCTCTACTCAACACATGTAAGTACCACTAACTGATCTTTCACACCTCACTGCAATATCTCTTTATGAGAGGAAAGCTTTCTACTAGCTATTATAGTAGAGTTGAAAAGGTGTGCTAACTCAAAAACTGGTTTTGAATTGGGAAAGATATAAAACTTAAGTCAATATGGTGTAAGAAATGTTAGTAGAAATGCAATGCAGAGTTTTTTCACTAATAACATCACAGTTTACTTTGACAGTGAATTCTGGTATTGGTGTTTCAGTTTTAATCATCACATTACAGTCACTAAATTGTCTATCTCTGGGCTGTCAGAATCCTGAGGAGCTAGTCAAACCACAAATGAAACAGTAGAGATGTGAGAGTGCAATAGAAAGTAGCTATTGTCTGAAGTATGACTGTGGATGGTTCTTTTGTTTGCTTTGCAGAGAGTTGAAAGACAACCTGGGGAATGATGAACCCGAGGGTGACATGCCAGTGCTTCTACAAGCTTTGCTGTCCAGGAACCCCAAAATCTTCAGGGACAAAAGTATGCCAACCCATTACAAGGTTTGGGGTGGTAAGGAGGAGACACTGAGTTGTTGCTGTTGCATCTTCAGTTGTACTTTTCCACTACATAACTAATTATTCACTTGAGCATTTCCTGGATCAGATGCACTACTTGTGCATACTTTCACTAGCCTACATCTGAGGACAGAGCCATTGCAGTAAGAAGCACGTAGACAAAAACTTGAGTTGAACAGAATTTGTAGACAATTTGACCTGTCAAGCACAGGTATAACTAATACCTTGATAATTGCTGCATTGCATTGCATTGCACCAGTTATCACGAATTGGTTCTATCTGCATTTTTTTTTTTTTGGAATGTTTGACTGGAATGTATCGAACACTAACAAGATAGCTAGAATGCTAACTAGACAGTGGTAAAGGAGTATGAAATTATATCTGCATTTAGCCTAGCTTAGCTCAGAGATTGGAAACATGCAGAAACAATTATCCCAGCTTTGTGTAAAGCTGTGTCTTGATAAAAAAACATCTGGATACAGTGATTGACATTTCAAATGTCCAGACTTTATATTGGGGTTTCCAGGTTTTAACAGTCACAACTAGAAAAAAAATCTTTGCGATTCTTTGATGTATTAGTGTCTAGCCATGCAACATGTAGCAAAGAAGATTATTCACAGCAAGGTCAGTGGATTATTCAGAGTAACTGGGACATTCTGGGAATTGATGGTGTAAAATTGTTTTAATGTCATTTTATAATGTTATGAGCACCACAATTGAAATTTAATTCGCTTCCATTGTATTGTGGAGGTGCAACATGGTTTATGATAAGTATTCCTGTAACTAAACAACAGTTTTCATCCTAAGGCAGTTCTGCTTGCTGGCACAAATTATACTGTACCTGTAACACTATATTTAGCAATAGAGAAATACTGTATATTAACTCGGAGAAGTTTTTAAAGCTTCTTAGCTACATTTGTTTTGTCATCATCACCAGTGATATACAATAACAGATTGCTATAAACAATTTCATATTATTTTTGCAATTTTAGCCAGCAGTAGGAACATAGTGCTTCAGATTCAGTGAAATGCTACTCCACAGAGGTACTCAAGGTACACTTGTCACCAGATAGGATATACATATTGTTGCACCTTCAACTCTTTCCATTTTCTTAAGCTATAACCTCCTCCTTCACCTCTCTGAACTTCAAATACTTCTTGCTGTGGAGTGACATTTTACAAATATACACTGAGTTACCAGTTCAATATGCATCATGTGTAATAGATAACCTATAGAGTTCATTATGTACATGTGTAAAAGACAATATTAATATTTTAATATTCTGTTTTTGTTGACACCGATCATTATTTAACTGTATAGTAATTTCTGTGGCTGTACGTAGCGATGGTGTTGTATTGAACTACATTATATTGAGAGGTGTTTCTAAAGTTTTGTTCATCCCCATTTAGAGTTTACAGTACACAGATCACTATTTTGCAGTAGTAGAAACACCTCTTACTATTATGCAACTCACAACAACACTACTAGCCTTGGCCTAAAAAATAATCATATAGTTGAATCAGCATCTCTCTGACACAGTGGGAAAAAAGTTAAGGCAGGCTTTGTAAGATTGTAGTGGGTGTACATCATAAACTGGTAAATGTGTTTACATTTTCATTATATGAATATGCAATAAAATTACCTAGCACTGGGTTAATATTAGTACCCAGTACTTGCTATTAATTAGGTGATGTTTGGTTTACTTAGAGACTGTTGCTACGCTGGAGGTGTTGTTCTATTTCATTTACAACCCCAAATCAGAAAAAGTTGGGACAGTATGTAAAATCAAACTTAAAACAGAAAATAGTGATTTGTAAGTCATCTGTGTCCTGTATTACATTGAAAACAATACAGCAACATGTTATTTGATGTGATACCTCATCAGTTTTATTCTTTGTTCAAAATAAACACTCACTTCAATCCTTTTTAGAATGTTTTGCAGGCATGAGAATTGAAGAGCATATATTCAACTCCTTGTTTGTTTGACCCTAATTATAACTTTTATCCTCATCTCTTAGGTGTAATGACACAGCCATTGATCCAACAGTATAAGATATCTCAGAATCAGGTTCATGGGAGTCCAGCATCAAACTATCAGCAATCCAGTGTTCCTCAAAGCCCCTCTGGGTAAAGCAGTACCAGCATACTTTCAGATGATGAAAGAAGCATATGCATCTGTACTTCTACTAAGACAGCTTCTTACTTTTATCCTATTTCAGATGCTTTACGTCCTCACAGCCTGGGGCAGCTACTCGGTTAGTACCCCAGCAGAACAGCCCTATACCAAGTCCCTATACCCCTCAGAGTCCTGCAGAGTACATGCAATACAATCCACCCAGTTATTCCCAACACCAACGGACTCAGCCAGGTGAGTACAAAATGAAGCCAGAAGAAACATGTCATTAGCCTCCCCACCTTATGTTAGGGTTATAACAGCAAATAGAAAACTTTTGTTAGGATAGAAGAGCTTTTCAATCTTTGTGTGTGCTTGTGCTGTTGCTGGTTTTAAAACAAGTCTAGGTCGACAATATTCAGCTACTACAGTTTGTAGATGTTGTTGTTGTTGTAATAAACTGGATTTACAGTGTGTATTGCAAGCATTCTGCCTAAAACAAGAAACCTTCCACAAGAGAATGGATGCTGTTCAATAAATACTGTGTGTGTGGCTCATTGTTCTCTTAAAGAACATTAACTATATCCTAACCACAACAAATTCAAAGTCATTAGTCATTCTTTTTAACATTGGCAAGATCTGCATAGTGTGTCATATAAAAGCTGCCTGCAAAAAACAGCTTAGCGATTTATTTAACATCACTAACACTGACAATCTCTTACTCTCTTACATAGTATAGCTGCCTGTAAAGGTGGGAAAGAATGTATCTATCTCCCATTCGGTTCAGTGGGAAAGTGTGTCCAAATTTTTGACTGGTAGTGAAGATGTGATGCATTTCCCATCATCATTTTATTTTGCTTTCTGTTTTAGTTGCTGGTGATGTAAGAAATATCCATGATAACAAGGTTTCTGGACAAATAAGTAGTTCATCTAATCACAATACGAGAGTAGGCTTGGATGAAGAATACATAAACATGGCCCACAGACTAGAAAATGAGGTAATACAGAAAACTAAGATACCCAGAATTAGACATTATCAGATACCAGCAGTTAAAAGTGATGATAAATTTTTTGTGTTCCAATAGGAGAATGACCCCTCCATGAGGGCAGGAGCATTTCCAGTTAAGTCACCACAGTCTGTGCGTTCCCCTGTTGGGAATGAAGAGGCTGCAAAAAGTATGCTGCCTTAGCAAAAATCAATTCTTCATTTTGTAGAATCAAAAATAATAAACCATTGTACACTTCATTCTTTACCAAGACTTATTCTCTGGTGCCACCTTTTCCTTTCAGCAGGCTCCAGACCTCCTCTTATCATGCAGTCACCTCCACCGGCTGTCCCACTAGGTTCATCACCCGACCTGCTCTTCACCTCTGCTGACCGCAAAAAAAAGCAGAAAGAAAGGAGTAAAGAGGGAGATGAGGAGATGGACAGAAATATCATGCAGTCACCTCCACCGGATGTCCCACTAGGTTCATCACCCGACCTGCTCTTCACCTCTGCTGACCGCAAAAAAAAGCAGAAAGAAAGGACTAAAGAGGGAGATGAGGAGATGGACAGAAATGCTTTGTTTGACATTATTAGTTGTCCATCAAAAGACACTGCCAGGCTGACCTTAAAACTGTCCAGAGTGAAGTTTCCAGACATAGATCAATCTGAACAACTTCCTCCTAAGACGCATGTGGACTCAGACCATAAAACTCTTTTGATGAATAACAATAATCAGCTGTCAAGGACTGCCCAGGACCTGTTATACAACCTAGGTGCTGAGGAGCAGGCCAGCTGTCATCAGGTTCCCATGCAGCCAAATACCATGGAGACTGGAGTTGTAAGTGGGGTTGTGTGTGATGATGCTGAGGTAGATGCACTTACAGAGTTTGAGAGAACAGAGCGCGAGTCAGCTAATGAGAAAGAACGATGGTCTAAAGAAGTCCAGGATAAAGGTGAGTTTATGTGTGTCTGTTTTTGTCCTGTGTATACTTGCATTCTTCATGTTCCTAGCCTAAACTACAGTGTTCTTTATTGCAGACAAACCACTGAAGAAAAGGAAGCAAGATTCGTATCCTCAGGAATCTGGAGCTGAGGCAAGTGATGGGTCTACTTTTCAAGGAGACAACACTGGCAGCAAGTTGACACCCAAGAACATGCTTTCTGCAAGTAACGGTTCCAGTCGACCCACTTTAATGGTCAGTATTGATCTGCAGCAAGCTGGAAGAATGATAGGACAGCCTGTAGTGGTCCTGGAAGCACAGCAATTGTGTGAGGACCACCTAAAGCACCTGAAATCAAAGACTGATGAAAAGGTAGATAAAACAGTTGAAAACAGACCTGGAATCATCAAGCAGCATTCTGACAAATCCAGAAAGCCTGGCTTAGATGGACAACCAGAAACTCCTAAACTGAAGCAGGAAAGTCAGCGGGAATCCAAACACAGACATGATGTCAAAACTGGCAGTGGCAAGGGACATTTAGATGACAGACAGCCAAACATGCCATGGCAGAAGCATGACAAGCATTCAGTCTCACACCACAAAGAGGAAAAGAATCTCAACGGTCACCGATCCCACGTCAGCCAATCTGAGACTCGAAAAACCGTGAGCAAGGCAGAGCATAACTGCAGACATGGACAAGACAAAGCCAGAGAAAGAGACAGGGATAAGGACATAGATAAAGAAAAAAAAAGGAATGGAGACAGGGACAAGGAAAGAAATAGAGACAGAGACCGGGAAAAGAAACTCAAGACATTGTCAAGGGAAAACTGCAACAGACAGTTTCCTGATAAGTGTGCTAAATCTGATAGCCCTAGAGTGAAGCAAGATGGAAACAGAAAATCCACTGACCTCAGTGGTCGTCAGAGGACAGACAGTACCACTTTTCAAAACCCCCAAAATAAGAAAGAGAAGAAAAGCGGGGATGGCAGCATTAGTTGCCAAGCTGGAAGCAAATTGCACTCTTCTGAGATAAAACCTAGCAAGTTGCCCTCGTACCTGCTGGGTGGCAAGTCAGGGAGTCTGAAGAACTTTGTGATTCCTAAACTGAAGCAAGATGGAAGAGAGAAAGACCTCCAGCTGCTCAGCAAATTCAAAGACAGCTGCAGCCAACCCCTGGTCAGACTGGAGCGAGTGTCATTGGTAGACAGTTTAAACAAAAAAGCTAAGCCCATTGTTGTGCTTCGAAAACTCAGTATTGATGAGGTAAAAGGGATCATTAGGGAAAGCAGGAAAGCACACAGCTCCAGATCCAGGCACCTGTCCTTCTTTGACAAACCAGGGAGAGGTATGATTTACTTCATTTACTGAATATGTTTGCAAAATTGCAGGGGATGAATATGTGTAATGTCAGTTTTCCCAGTTTTTGGATTGTTTATCTACTTTAAACCACCGTCACAGGAATCATTTTTATCACAGTCACTAATCCAAGTAAACAGCTGTGGATAAATAATAAGAGTAATGAGCATGTATCTTCTGTTGAAGTACAGACTGTTCTGTGTTGAAAGCTCACTGAACTCTTGTGCTCACAGAGATGTCAAACAAGCGAAAGCACAATATGATCAGTAAGAGATCTAAGTACACTGAGGTGAGCTCAGATGAAGACAGTGATGATGAGCGCTCTGAAGGTAAGTGTGAGCATTAAACTTATACATCAGAGTGACACAAAATCTGTTAACCGGTTTACTGTCCACTCTTGACAGATCATAATTTTACCATGTAGTAAACCTTAAGACAAAAATATGTATATGCACCTCTGAATATGTGTTGAATTTTGTTAGAGTAAACAATAATTGGTGCTTAAAGTTCTTTTAAAACTATTTTTTTTCTGACTTTTCCTGTTATCGTTTTAGCTGCAAGGAAAAGGTACAAGAAAGACCATGACAAAACATGGAAGACTGAAGAGAGGAGAAGTTCTGGAGATCACCATCGAAGTGGAGGTTTTCATAGTGCGCGCCTGGGTTGTGGTAATCGTCATCGTGAATGGATCCAAGATGATTCAGATGAGGACTCTCCACCACCAAGCCTAAGCGATGGTGACTCTTTTCTTTTGCATAGGACGCCAAATGGGCACAGACAAAACAAAATGTCAGGGACAGTGTAGACTGTTTTTGCCTACGAAGGCAAAATGATTGTCACATCTATAGTATTAGGCAGTAGACAAAAAAAAAAAAATGCTAATTCTGTTTCTAATGGCTGTCATTCAGATTATTGCAATTTGAAAATGTCAGGTCAGTTCCCTGTATTTCTGGATTATCAAAACCAAATGAGTTGCTATTAAACATTCAGTGCTTGCAGGTTTCTTGCTGCTGTCAAGGATTTGACTGATGTTATTATGGTGTTTTGTTTTTGTTCAGTTACCAGAAAATGGAAGAAAAAGGAGAAACAGAAAAACAGGAAGGCCTACAACTCAAAGCTGGCACCAGAGGGTATTGTTAATACTTTGAATTCGAACTTTTACGACATTATTTAATTTTAAAAGTACAAAGTTTTCTTAATTGATTTGTTGACAGAAATGATGGACTCCTCCACATTTAAGAGATTCTCAGCCGGTGTGGATAACATTCTTGAGAGCCTTGAGGACGTGGACCTCACTGTGACAGGTAAACTTCAAGCACTGTGTAGTTTCCAAAGTTACAGTATTTCCAACATACAGTATGTTGAGTTGAAAAATATCAAAACTATCACTTTGTACCCTTACACAGAGGATGATGAGATTCCTCAAGAGTTCTTGCTTGGAAAGCACCAGTTGAGCGAGCTAGGCAGCGATTCTGCTAAGATTAAAGCTATGGGCATCTTTAACAAGGCAAGAGGAGTGTGTGTTGCACTGCCACATGATTTTATCAGATCATAGCTGCATTGATGTGAATGTAACCATCATCATCTGTTTGATCCACAGTTTTCATCTGGTAAACTGGTGAAAATTTTGAATATCCTTGAGAAGAACATTCAGGACAGCGTCAAACTATCCACGTTAATAAATCATGTAAGTTATTTTTTAGTGGTGGAACTGACCAGATTTTTTCTAACCTAATTTTCTTTTAGAGGTTTTCAGCAAGTTCTGTCCTTCTTCTTCTTCTTTTTTTTTTCACAATTTGCTTTTGAACTTTGTAGGATAATGATTCCATGGATGAGGAGCGGTTGTGGCGTGACCTTATCATGGAGCGGGTGACCAAATCTGCTGATGCCTGTCTGATTGCACTCAACATAATGACATCTCCACACATGCCTAAGGCTGTTTATATAGAGGATGTGATTGAAAGGGTATTGCAGTACACCAAGTTCCATCTGCAAAACTCCTTGTACCCTCAGTATGACCCAGTCTACAGAGTGGATCCCCATGGAGGTTAGCAGAAGTTTTTACCTGTTCTTCTAAATGGTTTTACGAAATATAGCACTAACCCTCATTTCTAGGAGGAGTGTGAGAAAGATATATATTAACAAGCTGTTTAGACTAATCCATAATGGATTTTTAATACTAATTTTGTCTTAAATGATCTTGGCTGTTACTTAAAAATATCTCAAAATGTGAGAAGAAGCACTTACAAAGCATTTTGGGATTTTCTTCTAAAAAATGCCCATCCTTTCAGTTTCTGATGACAGGTTTTATTAGCTTATTTCACTGTTTATAAATAAAAGATGGCAACAGAATATTCTTGTAGTCATATTTTCCATGAAACCCTGTAGTTGCATATAGAAATGTTTGACCCATTCAAACACAATTTTTTTAAGAACATTTTTTTAAATAAATGGCCTTTGTCACATATCCTTGGTATTTTGCCACTGTTGTTTGAAATGGTTTCATCCAGCTCTCGTTTTTCCTTTCACTTAAGGTGGCGTGCATACTTCGAAGTCCAAGAGCAAGAGAGCAAAGTGTTCCGTCCATAAACAGAAGGTGGTAGTCATGCTCTACAACAAAGTGTGTGATATTGTCAGCAACATCTCAGAGCTCCTGGAGATCCAGCTTCTAACTGACACCACAATCCTCCAGGTGAGCCTCTTAATCTGGTCTGGTGTCTTTCAAGTTCATGACCTTTTTTAACTTCTGATTCTTGAGCTCTAACGTACAAGCATTTTGGCCTTTTTAGGTGTCCACCCTGGGAATTACACCTTTTTTTGTGGAGAATGTCAGTAAACTGCAGTTATGTGCCATCACAGTAGTGACAGCAGTAAGTTTGTCATGGAGTGATATTTTAGTATTGTTTTAGTTGTTAATTTTATTATCAATTCTCTTTTTATGATATGATCCTGCACAATGTCTCTACTGTAAAATTATAATTTAGTGCTTTGCATTTTACTCTTCCTTAGGTCTTCTCTCGTTATGAGAAACACAGACAACTCATTCTTGAAGAGATCTTCACGTCCCTGGCTAGACTACCTTCTAGTAAACGCAGCCTCAGGAACTTCAGGTAACTACATAATGAATGCATATTTAACCAGTATAATGACATAAATGTGTGGGGTTTATTATTGAAGTTCTTTGCATCACATAACATATTACTGTAAGTGCTCATACTCTCCCAGGCTAAACAGCAGTGATTCAGATGGAGATCCCTTGTATATCCAGATGGTCACAGCTCTGGTGCTTCAGCTCATCCAGTGTGTGGTGCAGCTTCCCTCTGACATGGAGGATGAACATAATAATAAGGTCTGGACCAAGGATTTAACTGATATTTAAATGATATTTATTGGAAACCATATTTTGATTCAGAAATGTTTTACATATTTTGTCATTTTTCTTAGGTGGATAAAGATCTTCTTATCACAAACTCTTATGAAACTGCCATGAGGACAGCTCAGAACTTCCTATCAGTTTTTCTCAAAAAGTGAGTCTTTGCTCCCGCTCTGTAATACACTATACAACATGAGGTACAGTATACCTGATCTCATCCACTCCTTATTAACCTCAAGACATAATCTATATGCTTCTTAACTCTGTAAACTGTTAAAGGTGTGTCTTCACACAGTGCACCTGCTTCTGCTGTGAAATAGGGTTTAATATTCACTTGATCAACATTGAACAGTATAATATAATAGACTATTGTATTCTCTGTGTGTCAGGTGTGGCAGTAAGCAGGGAGAGGAGGACTACAGGCCTCTCTTTGAGAACTTTGTTCATGACTTGCTGTCTACAGTCAACAAGCCTGAATGGCCTGCAGCTGAACTGCTTCTCAGTTTACTGGGCCGGCTGTTGGTGAGTAGTACCGTTCACTTCAAAGGTGTCATCAATCGTCATCTGTTTGGTAGAAACAGCTGCTGATGCTTGTTTTTTCCCAGGCATTTACTTTATGTCTTGTGCTCCAGGTGCACCAGTTCAGTAACAAGCAGACAGAAATGGCACTCAGGGTGGCATCGCTGGACTACCTCGGCACTGTTGCTTCTCGCCTGCGTAAAGATGCTGTCACTAGCAAGATGGACCAAAAGGGACTTGACCGCATCCTCAAGGAGGTATACAAGATAACTATGGAATCAGTTAAATGCTTACAAATTTCCAGTGCATCAACAGTGCTTTTGAACTGCTTATGAGATGCTCCTTACTTATTGATCTCCTTGCAGATTCCAGGCAATGATGAGATTCAGCGACTCCAGAGAGCCTTGCTAGACTACCTTGATGAGAATATTGAGACAGATCCATCTTTAGTTGTGAGTGTTTAATTTACATACACTAAGCTGTGTCTTTACACAAATCATTATGATTCCCTAGGGACTGGACGCTCAGTGTTTGCATGCTTATTGTGCACTTTTTGTACTCTTGCTGCATGAAACCCTCAGATATGAAATGATAATGTGTCTAATGGGCTTTTCCTATTGTCAAAGTGTTATTTTATTATGTGGTAATCCATAATATGTTTAGCATTGTTCATCGTGTATACATTTGTTTCAATCAGTTTGCCAGGAAGTTTTACATTGCCCAGTGGTTCAGGGACTTAACAAGTGAGGCAGAGAAAGCCATGAAGTCTCAAAATGAGAACAATGTGGACTTAAAAGGTCGACGCCATTCCAAAGGTGTTGACTCAAGTGGGGAGATTATGCAGAGAGCCGAGCCACGAAAGAAATTCCTTCGCAAGGTTATCAAAACTTCACCATCTCATTTCAGTTCTGTAAGGTAAATAATATTTCACTCTGGATAACTGCACTTGTATTATGCTGTTTGACTTTCTCATTCAACATGGTATTAATCCTTCCAGGATAAACTCGGACACAGTAGACTATGAAGACTCCTGTCTCATTGTCAGATATCTAGCCTCTATGAGGCCGTTTGCACAGAGCTTTGATATTTATTTATCACAGGTAAGAGGATTATTTTAATATAAACATGAGTGAGCGATTATATTGCATTGCTTGTCACTAAACGTTTTCTCTCTCTGTATCTCCTGTATAGATTTTGAGAGTGCTGGGTGAGAGCGCTATTGCAGTCAGAACTAAAGCCATGAAGTGTCTGTCCGAAGTAGTGGCTGTGGATCCAAGTATTCTGGCACGGGTAAATTGTTTTGTATTGGCTCCTATGCAATTCTCAGGTTAGATATGTAGATAGATAACTTTATTACTCCTAAAGGGAAATTAAAATGTTGCATCAGCACAAAATCACAAAAAACAACGGGTATGATACAACAGATATAATAAAATAAATAAACAGAGCAAAAATACAAGGAGCAAATAAATAAACAAGAGCCTAATATATGTTGTAATAAGTAATGCTAGGCAACACTGTACATCATTGCAAGTCAGATTGGTAATCTAGAAAAAACTGTACATTAAAGTGCACCATGGATAGTGCAGTTATTAGATGAGCATAGAGTCTGTATAATAAATATGTTGCCAAAGGAGGAAATCCCTCCCCGACACAGAGTGTAGTCGTACACTGTGATAGCAGTTAGCAGGAAAGACTTCATGTAATGTTCTTTGCCACAGCAGAGCTGAAGCAGTCTCTTACTGAAAGTGCTGCCCTGTCTGACCAGTAAGGTCATGGAGGGGATGCAAGATGTTCTCCATAATGTTCAGCTGTCTGTGAAGCATCATCCTCTCCACAACCAACTCCAGAGGCTCAGAGAAACACAGAGCCTGGCTCTGATGCTGCTGCCCCAGAAGATAATGAAGAATACTGCACTGACCACAGCAGACTGATAAAAGATTTGCAAGATTTTGCTGCACACATTACCCATCCTGAGCTTCCTCAAGAAGTATAATCTACCCCTTCTTGTAGATGGCCTCTGTGTTGTGTTTCCAGTCTGTTCTGTTGTTGAGGCATAGGCTCCAAGGTATAGCCCTACGCCACCTCAACATCCTCTCCAAGAATGGAGATGGTGTTTTACCTAGTCCTGGTCCTCCTGAAGTCCATAACTGTCTCCTTGGTTTTCAAACGTAAGTGGTTATTCCCACATCACAAAGCAGTCAGAAGGCTTCGGTACTCTGTCTTTGTCTGCACGTTGCTGTATAGACAGTCTACAGACCGTATGGACCGTGGCTTCCCACGGTCTTACTCTTAGTCCTCTCTGCACACTTTTCAGTAGGTCTCGCATCAGGTCACTGGTGATCCAGAGCTTGATGTTGGGCAAGCAGTGCACTGTCCTGTGGGGATGGTGTAGTCCCCACAGAAGTTTATGTATTCTTTTACACTTTCTGACATAGAGTTGATGTCATCTTCATGGGATTCGCTGAGTACATTCCCGTCTGTGGCTTTAGTCTGCCATCACTGGAATGATGGCAGGAGCACTATTTTTTTAAAATTAAAACATCTTAATTTTACATGTGTATCTGTGCATGATTGCTAAAACAATCTTATTTGTTTTTCAGACGGATATGCAGCGTGGGGTTCATTGTCGCCTTATGGACAATTCCACCAGTGTGCGAGAGGCAGCTGTGGAGCTTCTTGGCCGTTTTGTGCTAAGTCGACCTGAGCTTATTGAGCAGTATTATGACATGCTCATAGAAAGGATACTGGTAAAGTTTTTCTCTTACCTTTTTGACACAAATGTTTTCACTTATTTGGTCACGTTATGTGCCCTCTTAGTAGCTACACAGTATATTATAAGATGGGCACAAATGGAATATTACTTTTGACTTTAGCAAACTGACCAATAAGTTGATTTGAAGCACAAAAGCTATGGTTAAATCATCTTTTCCCACTAATGCCACCTAAAGATTAAATGTAAACTGCAATCATTTTGCACTTGATGTTTCTCTTTACTGTTACGTATTCAGTTTACTGTCCATTTTCATTTTCTTATTTCTATAAGATATTTGATATTTTTGTTGATAAATGTGATTTAAAATCCGTGTAAAGCTAAAAAGATGCACTTTATATCAAGTCTGTATTGAGCGGTCCCATTTTGTATTTACACAGGACACGGGTATCAGTGTAAGGAAGAGGGTCATTAAGATCCTGAGGGATATTTGCCTGGAGCTGCCAGACTTCCACAAGATCACTGAGATGTGTGTCAAAATGATACGAAGGGTCAACGACGAAGAGGGGATAAAGGTTTGTGTCTAAGGGCACACAAACAGGCAAACAGGTGGCAGTTTTTAGCCTTTAATATGCACTAAATATTCTTGAATATCTTTGCCCATTCAGAAACTGGTGAATGAGACATTTCAGAAACTCTGGTTCACCCCTACACCCAGTCATGACAAAGATGCCATGACCAGAAAGATCCTGAACATCACAGATGTGGTGCGTACTGTCCAGGCTTGTGACAAATATGTCTGTGCCATTGTTCAAGTAAGAAGCATTCTGGTATTTGATATAGTCAGAATCTGACTCATGTCAAATGTTGTTGTCATTCCAGGTGTCGGCGTGTAAAGATTCAGGCTATGACTGGTTTGAGCAGCTTCTCCAGAATGTAAGTTGTTGACATCTCAACAGCAGCTTGTGTGCCTTTATGATAGCTGCTGTGTGATCTTATCTAACTTCTGTATGGAAACTGTTTAGCTACTGAAGGCAGAAGAGCAAGCCTCGTACAAACCTACCAAAAAGGCTTGTGTTCAGTTGGTGGACAAGCTTGTGGAACACATACTGAAATATGAGGAATCTCTTGCAGGTAATAAAAATACATTTAACTTTGTTGTTATTGTGTTAAACTTTCCTGTGCTGCGACACATTTTCTGTGTTTGTGTTTCAGACTGTGAGGATAAAGGAGTCAACTCAGGTCGTTCGGTGGCATGCATCACCACACTTTACTTGTTTAGCAAAATCAGAGCACAGTTAATGGTCAAACATGCCATGACTATGCAACCCTACTTGACCACCAAGTGCAATGTAAGTCCAACATAAATTTTTTTTAGTAGGTGGCCTGAAAGCATGAGAAATCTTTTATTGAGACTGGTGACTACAAGCAGAACTGAAAAGTACCAGTTTTTATGTTGTGCTATGTTCAGCATAATTGTTCACACAGTTATTTTCCAGCTCAGCTTTGCACAGCGCAGCTATTATGTATATTTTTATTGTCATTTCAGACTCAGAATGACTTCATGGTGATATGCAATGTGGCCAAGATCCTTGAGCTGGTTGTGCCTTTGATGGAGAACCCAAGTGAGACTTTCCTCACTACCATAGAAGAAGACCTGATGAAGCTGATCTTCAAACATGGCATGACGGTCAGTCGCATTTACAGCTAGCATCGTTCACAAATTGCTATCAGAAAACATGAGCAGTTTGGATGTGAAACAACTGCTCTGAACACATGATCAAAACATCATTCGTTGTGTCTACTTCTCAGGTTGTACAACACTGTGTGAGCTGTCTTGGTGCTATTGTGAACAAGGTCACGCACAACTACAAGTTTGTCTGGGCTTGTTTCAACCGTTACTATGGTAAGGCTTATGCACTGTAACATTAGTTTGCCCAGAATTGTCATATACCTTGAAATGAAAAAAAGCAGGAAAAATAATATAAAATAATGCTAACATTTAATAACATGAAGATGAATGTTAATTGTTAACCTTTTCATTTTAATGAAGTAGGAGCACTGACTCTCTCATTAACTGATGTTTTGTTACAAGTCATTGTTTGAACAAGAAAAACAAAAATGAATTGTCTTTAGTTTTCACTACCTGTTTATATGGTTGTGTAGGAGCTCTGGCAAAACTCAAGACACAACACCAAGAGGACCCCAGCAGCTCCACTCTGGTTACCAACAAACCTACTCTCCTGCGTTCACTGTTTACTGTTGGAGCTCTCTGTCGACACTTTGATTTTGACCAAGAGGAGTTTAAGGGCGCAAACAAGGTAAACACCAGTGCTCGGCTTATATTGTATGTATAGGACTGCTGTAGAGTCTGTTCTGATGAATGACTTTTGCTACCTCCTCTTATGTCTCTTAGATTGTCATTAAGGACAAAGTGTTGGAACTTTTACTGTACTTCACCACTCATGAAGATGACGAGGTCCAGCTCAAGGCCATCATAGGCCTAGGTATACTGCCACTTTCACAAAATACTGTTTATACAGTCATTTATGTTGACAGCTCTGGTCTTTAATTTACCTACATTTTGATGGTGATTTCTTTAGTAATAAAATTTATATTTAAATTATTTCCATTGTGTGAAGGCTTCCAGTTCATCATGCACCCAGAGCTCATGTTTGTGCAGGATGTCAAGGTTCTGTACAACAGTATCCTCTCGGATGAGAACAGTTTGGTCACTTTGAAGATCCAGGTGCTAAAAAACCTGCAGACATACCTGCAGGAGGAGGACTCTCGAATGCAGGAGGCTGATCGGGAGTGTGAGTTCAACAGTTATCCATCTCATATGGGTTCTGTTACTCAGCTGTTTAAGATTATCACTGAATGTTGAGTAGTATTAATCTACATTCTGCATACAGTCAGGGACAACAACCACAGACTGCTGAGGTGATGGTTTTGTTTATACAGGGAAAAAGCAAGCCAAGCAAGAGGATCTGAAGGAAATGGGGGACATCTCCTCAGGCATGAGCAGCTCCATAATGCAGATTTACCTGAAGCAGGTGCTGGAGTCCTTCTTCCACTCACAGTCTGCAGTTCGGCACTTTTCCCTTAGTGTCATTACACTGACTCTGAGCCAGGGCCTCATCCATCCTGTACAGGTAAGGTTATTGTCTAACTCCAGCATACTTTGATTAGGATTGCAGAGGACATGTATATATACACGGGAGATTTTTCTTTATTACATAGTGGCGCTGTTATCTTGCATGCATCATGAGCTATTCACAGACTGGGAACAATTCATTTTTAGTGTGTGCCCTACTTGATTGCCATGGGAACAGACCCTGAGCCAACCATGAAGAACAAGGCTGACCAACAGCTGGTGGAGATAGACAAGAAATATTCAGGATTCATCCATGTGAGTAGCACATTGGTTTATGATCACCCGAAAAGGTGTGAATGTGCAACAGTGGCTGTGGGCAATGGAGTGTAGAATTGGAGTGGAGAATGGAGAATTTAAAATTGTTTAGGCCACAATAAACACTGAATGCTATGAGAAGGGAAAACAGTTTTTGGGCCAGACTTTATAAGTGTAATAAAAATGCATATCTCTGTATTCACAGATGAAAGCCGTTGCAGGGTTGAAGATGTCTTATCAGGTGCAACAGGCCATAAATGGTTCCAAAGACACAGTGATTCGAGGTTTTCGTCACGACGACTCAGACTCAGCTCTGTGCTCTCACCTCTACACTATGGTCCGTGGGAACCGGCAGCATAGAAGGGCTTTCCTCATTTCCCTGCTCAACCTGTTTGATGACAGCTCCGTAAGTTCACCTGTCCCCCTTAGATCACTTCCTGTGTGTAGATTTGTGGGTCTGTGCAGCTTTATCTATCCATCCATCAAATTTCTGGCTTCACTGCTATTTCTAAAGCTTTACATTCAACCACATCTTTGTAGAGCCTCAACATTTTGGTCCAATTGATGTTTGAATCGTTTGTGGTTGTACATTTGAATCAGTGAATTGTAAAAATCCAAAGGTTTTGTTGAAAGTACACAGTATTCCTATGTAATGAAGACTGACCTTAAATAGTTCATTTAAACAGTAGACACTTCATGCTTTGTCTGGTGCAGAGAACAGAGGTGAACATGTTGCTGTTCGTAGCAGACAACTTGGCCTGTTTCCCCTATCAGACCCAGGAAGAGCCTCTTTTCATCATGCACCATATAGATATTACTCTGTCTGTCTCTGGTAGCAACCTTCTCCAGTCTTTCAAGGAGGTGAGAAGCTTTGTTTAATTTGTATTTCACATATTTCTCCCAGTGGTTTTGTTTATCATGAGATGAAGATCCAAGCTTGTGTAATCCGCTATGTATTTGGCCTGTTTTAAGTGGCTTTGCTGTCTGTGCAGTCTTTACGGAAAGAGCCTGTACAGCAGAAAAAGAAGATGAAGAAGAAGAAGAAGAAGCAGCAACCTTGGAGGAAAAAATACAGCTCTGATGACGATGATGACGATGAAGACAAGGATGATGAACAGAGCAGTAACAAATCCAGCAGCGATGAGGATGAGGAGGTTGTCCACAGGCGAAAGAAATCCTTGGCTTCTGATTCTGACTCTGACATGGAAGATGAGGATGCAGTAATGGACCGTTTGCCTGAAAACCCCAACCCTCTGCTGGACTTTGCCAGTGCTTCGCAGGGTATTCTGCTGCTGCTGGTGCTCAAGCAACACCTGAAGAATCTATATGGCTTCTCAGACAGGTTGGCCTTGGATAACTCTTTCACTTTAATTCTTAAATTCTCATTAGCAGTGCAGCAAGTTAGACAAATATTTTGTTTGCATTACAGCAAAATTCAGAAGTATTCACCAACAGAATCAGCCAAAGTGTACGACAAGGCAGTGAACAGGAAGTCTAAGGTGCACTTCAACCCTCGTCAAACACTGGACTACATGAAGAATGATCTAGCCAAAAGAGATCTCAGCTACGAGACCAAGAGGAATATTGTGAAACAGTATTTGGATGTAAGTGTTCAGTACTGTGCATTTCTTCATTCAGAATGTTCTGTTATCTTAATTTCAGAAATATGCAGCAGACAGAAGATGCCTTTGTGAGAGAATGTACAAAATGAAGTGTTTTGGAATTTCATATTCAGATATATCATTTCATGTCATGTCTCAGGTGAAAATGCAGATCCAGTGCGAGTCCCTGTTCTTGTTCAACTGTTAAAATAATCTTAGCTTAGCTGAGTAGGAATGGATAAAATGCGTGGCCACATGTTAGATAAGCCTAGATTGTTCTATTTGTCCACACTGACTGTATGAAAAGCACTAGCTGAAGTTGTGCCTGCTTTTATCTTGTAGTTTAAGGTACTGATGGGGCACTTGGATCGTGATGAAGAGGACGAGGAGGCTGAAGCAAGTGCCAATGCCAGAAACAAAGCCATTACTTCATTGTTGAGGGGTCCAAAACCCCAGAACCACAACCACAATAATCACACTGCTCCAGTAGAGACAGATGATGAGGAGAGTGAGGATGAAGATCCACCTGCAGTAAGTATTCAAAAGTCCTTATGGGGTAGAGATTACCCATAGGATTTTCATGGGTACATACCAATTCCCTTATTTGAATGTCTCTCACTCCTGGATTTTTAAATACTGAATTTACAGTGTCAATAAAGAAACAAATAAATTAAGGAAACGTGCATCCAGTATCTGAAAAGTAGTTTAACTCTAAAGTCAGACTGACAGCATAACCAGCTGAGCCACCGTCATCAGAAGCAGATGTGATTTCAGACAACAGTTCAGAGAAAAGGACGTATAATTCCTCGTTTCCTCTCTGTGCATATTTTCTTGGTGTCTTCAGTTGGAGGGACTAAGACCTAAGGAAAAGATGCAAGTGAGGGAACCGTGGATGCAGTTAAGCAATGGAGCTGTACCCTATGATAACCTTTTCTGAGATAAACAGAAATCACTTATTATTGCTTTTGAAAATGTGGATTTGTAGGCTCTTTAGGGTTTTGCCACATAATAAGGGGAAGTTCTTATTAAACCTGGAGAAATTACATTTGAATTAAATGAACACCTCCCTGGGACAGTGTTAAAAACCCAAGATTATAGGTTTCACAAAGCTGCATTGTACACTCGTGGATTAATCTGAAAGAGAAGAGAAAATGTTTTGAACTTTTAAATAAATACCTCCAGGGCACACAAACACCATTTTGGTTTTTATGGATTTTGAATTTCTCCTCACTGTTGCAGAGAGCAGATCAACTTTCTACTGCAGTTCCTTCTTACACATAAATGTGGAAATAGCTCTAAGATTTCACAAAGGTTTCAGGTTGGACACACTAACATTGTGCTACTTCTCTCCACAGTGCAAACCAAGGAAAGGCAGGGATTCCACAGAGGATCCTGGTCACATGAATGAGACAGTGGAGGCCATGGACGTTATTGCCATCTGCTGTCCCAAATACAAAGACAGACCACAGATTGCTAGGGTCATCCAGAAGACCAGAACTGGCTACAGTATACACTGGATGACTGGGTCTTACTCTGGGCCCTGGGCTGAGGCAAGAAAACGGGAAGGTCGCAAAAAGGTGCCTTGGGTTGACAGTATCAAGGAGTCAGACATTATATACAAGAAAATCTCCCTGACAAGTGGACACAAGCTTACAAACAAAGTGGCACAGACGTTACGAGCACTATATGCTGCCAAGGAGGGGACTAAGAGTTAATAAGCTGAACCCTCACAGCCTAACTCTTTGTGGATCTGATATGTTACAGAGCAAGGACAACACCCTTTTGTTGTGAACACTGAACTGTTTGAACACAGATATATTTAAGTTCAACACAAGAAGGAAATGTTTGGGAAAACATTGTGTGGGAGTTCCTTCGCTGTTGTGCAGCAACTTGGTCGTTTGATTTTTACTCCTGCTGTATCATAGTTTAACACATGTTTATATCTGAACAAAATTCTGTAAAAATTGAAGTGAATGTTGGAAATTAGTGTATTGATGATGTTCTTAATAAAGTGTTTATGGAGTTTAAACTAGCACCAGATAGATTTATTCACTTCACATGAGCTCCAGCAATTTTTTCCCCCTAGTTTTAAACATTTTAGTTTTTTGTCCACACTGTGTAATGAAGTATATTTGATATCATTTATTTATGTTAAAAGAAGTGCAGTATATGTGCCTATGCAGGGGAAGTTAGATTGTTTTTAATAGAGGTTTTGATGTTATAGAACACAGAGCAAGAAAATTGAGTCCCCAATTCTCTTGGTGGATTAAATACCACAATAAAATTTTCTTATGTCTTTCTTACTTGTTTGGGCTTGTTTTTATGAACAGTCCTGTGCTGACCGTGTCTGCATGGAATCAGTCCAATCAGGATTTTTTTTAATAGTAAAAACCCCACCACTACCTGTTGCCTACTGTATCTATGTATAAGGAACTTTTCTCTCTTGAGTTTATGAAGGCTACCAAACCTGCAACCAGCTTATGGTTAAGAAGTTACAACTGGTTACAGCTAATATCCTGCACAGATCTTTGTGTTCGAAATATGTTGCGATTTAAAAAAAAATACAGCAATAGTTTTAAAGAGAGGCAAAAGAAAAGCAAGGCTCTCAAAACATGTTTACAGTAAAATTTCAGTGTAATAAAACACCATAGGTCTTACACATAATATACTTTATTATAACACTTGTATTTATTATATATGATACATAATATACAATATTTTTGAATTTAACTGAAAATGTATCAATTCTATTGGATAAAATAAATAAAAATGTACTGTAATGAAATGTATTTTGGGGTAATTCTTCACTACATGCTAGGGAAAATGAATCATGCTAGGCTCAGTTGAATCCCGCCCTTTTTAATTGGATTATTGTTATTATTTCTTATTTTATGTATTATATCTTTACATTTTTGATCACCACATATAAATGTACCGTTATTCGTATTTGTCAACAGCTGTATTTCTGTCTGGTGAATATTAGACGCTACATAGACCAGTGGATGGCAGCACACTGCTTCTCTTCGCCCAGTCTGCGGAAAAATGTGCAAATGAAGAAGAAGATTCACCGGAAAAAAAATCTTGTGCATGAGGTTGGCGGGCAGCTAGTTAATGTAGTATTGTTGGGTGTATTTGTACAAGTTTTTCGGCTGAGCTGGTGAACAAAGCATTTTAGCAAAAATAACTCAGTATCAGACGGAATCTTTTCAGTCAGGTACAACAGCGTGTTCACTTTAACATTACTTTTTCACACTTAGCTAGCTTTTAACTTACATGCTAAATAATACAGTTTTAATGTTAGCTGACAGCTAAAGCTAACTAAACGATATTCCTCTACTAGCTTGCTAATGTTAGCAAAAACAATCACGGCAGCATTTAACTTGATATATAGACTGGTGCTAGTACATCTTTCCATTATTCACGTATGACATCTTTGCTAACGCGCCTGACATTTATTTCGGTATCACCGGTTCTGGCTGTAAATAGAAGACCAGTGGTAGCCCAGCAATGCCGTCCAGCGCTGGACCCAGCAGCACCGCCGCTGCACTCGCTGAATCGCTGGAAAACTCTGCCCGTCTGATTGACAGACACCTGCAGGATGACCGCTGCTTTCCTGACCTGTCCGAGCTGCTCGTCGTCCCTGCACACAGTAAGTCTTCGGGAGGGATGGAGCAGGGTAGTCCGTTTACCCTAAGACTGGTACGACAAACTGCTTATGGTTGGATAAAAAAGAATGATGGAAGATGTTGATAAAAGCAAATATCACGATATGTTTACTCTAAAACAATGACAGCATTTTAGTAACTCACTGTTGGTGCGATATGTTTACTCTAAAACAATGACAGAGCATTTGAGTAACTCACTGTTGGTGACACACAGATATATGCAAGAAAGATCTAATAAACGATTCTTGGTAATATGGATGTGGTGACACAGAAGGTAGAAACATTCGCATTCTAAAATCAGAGGCCTGTATCATCTAATAATAATGCAGCAACAGTAAAGGTTGACTTAAAGAAGGCTGACTTGAAGAAACTGATTTGTAAGCTGTATTAAAATAGTTTGATAAAAATCTTGTGTATTGTCTTAGAACAATACACTGATGTAAAATCAGCTGTGAAAGCAAGAACCATCTACTGTTTCAGGGCTCCAGACTAACATTTCATACTGGTGTCACTAATGTCAGAGTCTCTCACTTGTGCCGGATTTGGTGGCACCACCTCTGTTTTACAATTCAATGCAAAAGAATCTGCATTTTTCGTAAATAACCCTACAATCCAAAGTGCATAGCTTGTTTTTATCATGAAATTCAGAGAGAGGGAAACTTATGGAACACAAGAAATGGAAAAATCACATCTGGAACAACTTTGCAGGTCTTCTTAAGTAGTCACTGTAGTGCCCTATACCCTAGCAGTCAACATGATGATGAATATTAGGCTATTATATTTCAGTTGAAGTGTAAACCGATGAATAGTGCATATGCTATGCCATTTGTCTACATGATTTATTTGTAGCCCATTTCCTTCTGAAGAATTTCTACTCTTTCTTCTTCTGATGATGTATTTGTTGGCCTTCATGCACAGTTCAGCTCTGTCAGTCACCTGGCCAAGTGTTAGCTCATTTTTGGGCTAAGGTTAGTGACTTAAAGAAGATGGTGGGTTTTGGCCACTACTAACTTCAAACTGGGACTTGACTAGACGTGAATGGCGCATATGCATGAAACTATATCCCCCTGATTTTTATATGCTGTTAGTTTATCATGGAATATGTTCGGATACAATGGAATCTATTTAAAATTGCAATGCACAATGTGTCAAAATGTTGAGTCTGAGGAAGATGTGTAAATACTTGTTCTTGATTGTGTTGTTAGATATGCCATCCCTCTCTGGACTATCGGACATGGACTACCCCCTACAGGGACCAGGATTACTAAGTGTGCCAAACCTCCCAGAGCTCAGTGCTGTCCGCAGAGTCCCTCTGCCACCTGAGCTGGTGGAGCAGTTCAGCCGTATCCTTTCATATCAGTTAGGCAAAACTAACCAAAAAATGTTTAGCATGCACCTGAGGTTTTCGGTACACACTTAACAAAATGGAAAATTGATTGCTCTTTTTTGCCCAAGAAATTAGAGTTTGAACTTAACTGTTTTGTAGACATGCAGTGTAATTGCATGATGGGAGTTTTTCCTGAAATCTGTCGAGCATGGCTTACAATTGACAATGACATCTTCATGTGGAATTATGAAGATGGGTGAGTATATTTAGATTTTGAGGTTTGTCCATCTTGAGTGCTTTATTTTTTGATGTAGCATTGTGAACTTCCATGAAGACAAACCTAAATGGAAGACAGTTATTTATATTTGTCTGTTCTATTCTCTGCAGAGGAGATGTGGCCTATTTTGATGGCCTTATTGAAACCATTCTGGCAGTGGGCCTGGTAAAACCAAAACAAGGTATGTGTAAACACTTGCTCAGGATAGATTTTTGTTATTTTTAAAATTTGAGTATTGATAATGATTTTTTTTTTCCTCAGGGATTTTACAGCCACACATTCACTACCTCTTAGTGTTGGCAACTTCTGTGGATGTAGTGATACTTGGTCTGAGCTTCCCCAAGGGCCACGCTGGTGAGTCCTTAGTCACAGCGGCCCTGCATTTGAATTGATTGCTCCAGCATGTGATTTGTTTTTATTTTTAGGTACCATAGAGGGATATTCTGTTTCCACATTTTTGCTTTAAGAGTTCAGGCTGTTGTCCTGAGTCTCTGGGGGAATCCCATAATAACGTAATCATGTCAAGCTGCAGTCCAGTAAAATATGTTTAGCTTATTAAAAGCTAAATATTTTTCCCCAGTACATAGATAAGTACAAATAAGTGCCATATATTTATCAGCTAGGCAAATGTGCAAGTGAAAGACACCTGTTGTATGCAGACACTGTCATATTCCAAATGTTGCACTTTGATCACACAGTGTTAAGAATCAGTAAATAACTAAATGCAGTTTTTGATATGGTACTTGTATGACTATCAGGGTGGGATGTGGAACTGAAAACTGAAGCATCATAACCTGCATTATTGCTATGTCATGCTTGTGAAAGTGCTGTAAAACCCACATATATTTGTGTTGGTTTACCTGGGTCGTCTTTGTGTCTGTCTTTTCTGTTGTAGGGTTGAATGATAGCATGTCTGGTGGGATGCAGCTACTACCAGACCCACTGTTCTCAATTCCCACAGACAACACCTACATCCTGTCCATCACCTCCACAGACCTGGGACGCATATTTATGGCAGGAAAGGATGCCTGCCTCTATGAGATAGCTTACCAGGCTGAGTCTGGCTGGTTAAGCCAGCGTTTCAGAAAAATCAACCACTCCAAAAGCGCTCTGTCCTTCCTCATCCCATCTGTGCTCCAGTTCTCTTTTTCTGAAGACGGTAACAAAGGGGCATGTTTCCTTGTGGAACACAAGATGTCTGAGACCTAAATAAAGTTCTCTTAAATTTTTTGTTGTCCTTTTTCTTCACAGACCCCATTGTGCAGATTGCTGTTGACAACTCCCGCAACACCCTGTTCACACGGTCTGAGAAAGGTGTCCTGCAGGTACGACATTTGCTGGGTGTCATCATTTTTCACTTGAGTCTGTTTGTGATTAGCGGGGAAAGTGACAGCATCTGACGATTGTCAGTGTGCTGCAGTGACTAAAAATCAGACTTTTTCAGGTGTATGACCTGGGTGCTGATGGACAGGGTATGAGTCGTGTGGCAACCATGTCACAAAGCAGCATTGTTGCAGCTGCTGGAAACATAGCCAGGTATGTCTGGGTTTGATGAACTTCAGATGCTTCTTGGACACATCATTACATGTCATAGGAAAGTAAGTTTTTTTTTTTCCCTCTTTGAAACTTTCCTCCCTGTTGCAGGACAATTGATCGTACTGTCTTCAAACCTATTGTTCAGATCTCTGTGATCAATCGATCTGAGTCTTCAGACTGTCACCTGCTTGCTATCTCTCATGCAGGTAAAGATTATCATCAAACAGCAGTAATGGAAAAACAAAAACAGTAGGGTAGAGGTAGAATGACAGGAAATTTGTCTTCCCTGTATGTCCCTGAACATCATATTATGCTTCCGTAGGTGTGCGTCTCTACTTCACAACCACACCTTTTGCCCCTCCGCACCAGAAGCACGTGATGGTTCGGCCTAGCCTGCTAGCTTTGGTTCATGTCCGCCTGCCACCAGGGTTTTCAGCATCTTCTACCCTGCAGAAACCTGCAAAGGTCCACAAGG